CCCCCCAAAAAAAATAAAGCAAAAGATGAAAGCTTTTAGGAATCATCGAGAAGTTGGACCCTCCACGTTTGGCCGCTTTTCAGAGAACATTATCAAAATATCCTCAAGCGACACACTTAACTCAAGAAGCATCCCCCTGGAGAGGCTTTTTCGGGACACAAATGGAGGTTACGCAAGCTCAAGACTCATACGCCCGAAGAAACGGAAGTTTTCTGACTCGCGCTCGCTCGCGTGGCTTCACGTCGACGGTCGTCGTCGAGTTTCGAGCTCGGACGGCGTTTTCCTGTCGCTGAACACTTAGCCCTCGAAACAATAAGGCACACTCGCTTCAAGGTGGAGCGACAAAGAAATTGCCTTGATTCAGTAATTGTCACCGCGACGGACTTCGCCGACAGTCTTCCCGTCAAGCGCGGCGCCTGAAATCGAGTTGTATTCCGCATTCCTGGCAGCTAATCGAATTTAAAAGCAGCGCCTGGAAAGGTTACAATCTAACAAGACTCACGCGTGGGTTCTTTAGGGCAGCGCGGCACGCGACACCGTCATAAATTCTTCTGCGCTGATGACTTTTTCCTCCCAACGCTGTAGTTTTTTTTTTTTTTTGGAAAGCAGACCGGTCCCTCTTGTCAAATGGCGTGCATACAAATCACCTCGTAGCCATAGAAAACTGCCGACTGGATTGCGTTCTCGGGGACCCTATAAACGCCTCGTAGGCGCTCGTATTGATCGACGGGGGCCTCTGCTATTGTTAATGCATCTCTGCACAGATGGATTTGGATTCCGTTGCCCGGAGTGGCTCCTCGCTTTAAAAAAAAAAAAAAAGCGGCTGCGAGGGGAGGAAGGTTGCGCGAGTGGCGGGGAGAGAGAATTGCCATTGTGGCCTGAAATCGGCGGCGATGTTAAATGTAATGGAAAATAAGAAATGGTGTTTAAATGCATTTCTGCCGTGTTATGGGATTCATCTTCGTAAGCCACGTGAAGACTATTCGTTAAAAAGCACCTTTCCCCATTGAAATGAATGGGAAGAGCCATAATCTGTTCCAGGTTCTTAAAAAAAAATGCAAATCAAGCAGTGAGATATTTTTTATTTATTTTTTTATAGCACGCCATAATACTTTGCTTTCTCAAAACATAATTAAAGGGAATGTAAAGAGCAAACCATTTTTTGGGATACATTTAACTGGAAATTGTGCTGATATGTGCAGCTCGGCCACCTGGGGGCAGTATAATACAGACAGACTGATTTGCATACATCTTGAATTTTCATGCGCTTGAATATTTCACATAAAATAACACATAAAAAAAACATCGATACTACTCAACTATTCCTACCGACGCCTTGTTAGAAGCCGTTAACGAAATAGGAAAGAATCAAAAGTCTCCTTTCGCACGGAGACGGTCATCCCTCAGTAAGCTGCAGTAAAAATAGTCCATTTGGCAAAGATTATATGCTGGAAAACCCCTGATATGGCTTGTCTACAAGTTAAAAACGTTACCGAATGCATTTATTTCGTTTTTTTTTTTATTTTTTATTTTTTTACTACAACTTGCTACGCTTAATTATTAACTGCCGTCCTGAAATAGTGATGCGGGTTAAGAAATAGTCCTCCATAGGAGCACTTGAACAGCCACGCTGCCGTAGAAAGCGTGTAAATGTTTTAACGCGCTTACGGCCGGACGACTTGCGAGATACAAACGCTTGCCGTAGGAAGGCGGGTTCAAAGCGCGGCCAAACGTCCATGATGTCCCGATCTCGTCCCCGTACACGGAAACGCCATTACGGCAGCATCTCGACGTGTTCTTTCACCTGCAACTACAACCGGGGCGCGAATTGACCGTGGGGTGGAGGGCGGGGGGAGTGCTTTTTCATGAAAGGACACTTTTTCGCCGTTTAGCCTTTCATACGCCGCGTTCATAATTGAACACGGCCGACGGAGTGGATTCCGCCATTTCCTTGACCGTGCGCCATGTTTCCGTTTGTGACTCAGGTTTGGAGAAGGTGGGCCGCGACTCCAGCTACGAGCAAGAGGGCAAGGTGCAGTTCGTGATGGACGCCGTGTACGCCATGGCCCACGCGCTGCACCACATGCACCGCAAGCTTTGCCACGGCTACCCGGGCCTGTGCCCGCGCATGGCCAACAGCATCGACGGCAAGGAGCTGCTCGGCCACATCCGCGCCGTCAACTTCAACGGTGAGTGGGAGCTCATATTTTTCATCATTGTATTTTATTTTTTTTTAATCATTGCCGTCTATGTGCACCGGGACTTGGACAACACTGCCGGCTTCTAATTTCTGCTAAAATAGAGCAGTGCCACGACAGGCCAAATATAACTTTTTTTTTTTTTTGATGAAACAATTAAAGACAGAATACTAATCCGGGTTTTATGTCGGCTGGTGTGGCGCGTCCATATATTATCGCATAAGTCGAACCCATTCATCCCCGTACGCTTACGCGTCACGATAAAAGCATTTCTCCTTGCCCTCTTCGTCGCAGGCAGTTGATTGAAATTAATGAAAGCGCTGTCGCGCAATTAGAAATCTAACAGGATTCCCTGGCAGTTCATTTGTTCGACTGCCGACTCCTTATAATTGCACCAAGAATGTCATTTGAAGACTGCCGACACAATCCCATGCATTACAGTTACAGCTGAATGTGTGTGTGTGTGTGTGTGTGTGTGTATAATTAATAGAAATAGAAATATATATTTCGATATGTCCAACGTCTGGACATATAATGGCGAATAAATGAGTTCTCCCGAGTGTACTCATCCCCAAGTTGTCTCACTGTCATATGAAAAACTCATTAAAACCAAAAACAATCTGAGCAGACGTCTTAATGGCTCCAATTTGGCTCAGTGCAGGTGCTGAATTCCGTCCTTCATCCTCCCCACACCCTCCCCTTGTGATTTCACCCCCTCCTGACAATTTTAATTGAGCTCCCTCGTCACCCCCCCTTAAATAATATCAGACGCTTTATATTTTTCTGAATGTTTTCTTCGGCGATGCTCCCCCCCCGCAAGCCGCCGCCGCCCGCTCTGCGAAACTATTCATTTCCTGCGTCCCTGATGCATTGTGCGGCAATGATGGCCCCTGTTTAGTTAACAAGACACGCAGGGAGGGATTCATATGATGAGGATTACACCCCCCCCCCACCACTAAAAAAAAAAAAAAATGTGGCTCCTGGAAAACAGTGCGATTTGGACCGCGCCGCTGTCTATCGACAGGGACTTGATCTGCACTCTCTGGCGCTCAAGAGGGTGTTTTGCAGTTATTGCCGGCTTAGGGTTGGGGGCTTTGGGTTAGTTTGGGGGGGCTAGGGGGCGCCAGATCCTCTCTTGACCCCTTTGAACGACTTTCCTCAGGTTAGCACAACTCGCTGCGAACTCGTGCCAAATCGCACGCCATTTTGGACACGCACCGTTTGGCTTCGCTAGCAGTGTCTAGTGTTCTGACAAGTTATTCAACCTTTTTTTTTTTGCTAAATTGTCTAACCGTTGTCGGAACAAGAACATACTCGTACGATCTCTGTCCACACCAGGAGGACAACTTCCGGTAGCCGGTAGGATGCATTCAAATTACTAGTGAGGCGAAGCCGTGCGCTGCCTCACCCAGCTAGCACTGCCTGTGACATTCCAAAATTCAATTCTTCAGATTCTGGCACTTCATTAGAAGCGCAGTTGTCAACAGGTGCAGTCTTGTCTCTCCAGGGTTAGCACTTCGTTGTCTTGCTAGTGAGGATTAAGGACATACTAGTGGATATCAACACTTCTTTTTGCCCATCGACTGATCCACTGTTATAAATTGAAACTGCGTCTATAAAGCAAACGATTTCCGCGTCGCGGCGGCTTCAGTTCGGCGCAGCGCACAAAGACCGTGGTTGCTCCCCTGCCCGTCATAACGCAGCACATGTGCCCACCCCTCACGGTTACCATAGCGACTGCTCGCCCGTGCCGTCGTCTGATCGGGACGTCGCCGCCGTTAGTTAGCCTCTGTGAAAGCGTACACCAAAGAGACTACGGCGACGCGCAAGAGGGACGCCAAATGAGACAGAAGCCCAGAATGTAATTCTCCTTGAAGCGTATGGGAAACGCCGGCCCCGATAATTCAATCGGTTGGCGGGACACAGAAAATCAAGTTCTGCGGCGGTATGAAACAATTCCATGCAGCCCGCCCGCGCGCAAAATTGCCCGCCGCTGTCATCAGACTTTTCATCTCTCACTAAACCGCAAATAAGATGCTGAGCTACTCGATTCTGCTTGTGATTAATACATTGCAGCAATCCTAATCCCGCCCCCACTCCACCCGGTACCATGTTTTGGCATCATTTTAAATTTAGTCCAACGCTTGACGTGCAACCGCAGCCAGCCGACTCATTCTCTCATTCTCTGGCGCCCACGTCACTCACCAGGCCAGGTCCGCCTTTTACAAGCCCCTCACATTACAAATGAAAAGCAAACGATGGGGTAGTGAGTAGAATACTTGATTCTTGACCTATTTGACAGTTGCCTGAGGCGAACGATATTCAATATGTCACTTATACAAACCCACAAGTGGATGCACTTTAAATTGCCGTCGGTCTCGCTTTGCTCCGAGCATATTCCGCAGAGGCTTTCAAAATGTCTCTCGACGTCCTTCGCCAGCGTCCTTATTTATCTCTCCTTTCACAGTCTGTCCCGCCTCTGTTTGCTTCTCAGAACCGCCGCTGACTCACCGGCTAATGTTTGCACTGCACCTTTATTTATTTATTGATTTCTTATTTTTTCGACAAATGTGTATTTTAGCCAAAAGTCATGTGCAAAATTAACACCACTCTTAAATGTAGGTGAAAAAATTAAACAATTTGACTCAAATATATTGGCCGCAAACAGTCCCAGAAAGATTTGACCTTAAAATGTTTTTAAAAAAACGAAGATTAAATAAATGCAAATGTACTGACCTAAAGTTAAAAACAAGTGAACTCTTCTCAGGCGTTGATTCTTCCGTGTACCACTAGAGGGAGCCGGCTTACCATATTTTGGAGTCTATGTTTAAAAACAAAAACAAAAAAAGTCCTTCAAAAAAGATTCTTACAAAATATTTCGGAGTGAAAAGCTGTTTAGCCGAAGCTAATCAATAATAATAATAATAATAATAATAATAATACATTTTATTTGAATGCCCAGTAAGTTTGGTATTTAGAAATATGTTTCGGAGATCGTTTTTGTGAAGCCTTGTCCCTGAGACCTGCTCGCTCGGAGCACTGCGTATGAACCTAGCAATGCCGCTAAGTTAATGCTAACGAGCTAATTAGCATACAAAAAGATCGCGAAAATGCTTTGTTGACCAGTGTCACACGCGGAGCTGCATTTATATGCTTATTGTTTGGCACTGGACAATTCGCGGTGTGATTTTTTGTTTACGAGAAGCTAACGCGTGTGTTAAATGAGTTGATTCTCCGCATTTTCGTCGAGCTGACAACGAGATGAAGACACGCAACCTCTTGAAAGTTGAAGACCAATTCTTTGGGTCTTCCACTCAAGCGTGCGTTTGGACGAGTGTTTTAAGACGAGAGGAACTTTCTATGCAGTTTGCCAGGTCACGTCTCCCGCCAGGAGACGTGCACTAATTGGTTACCTGGGTGGTATTGGGGGTGGGGGGGAGCAGGTAAGGCGGTCGTGGCAGCCGGGCAATGACTGCAAGCGGCTGGCGGATGATGAAGCGTGCCGACTCGTAATAACCTGAGGGAGGCGGTGCGCACAGCACAGTAATGGCGGAATTTATTTGCTCGGAGATGATGAACTTGACCGCGACCCTCATGATCTTGCCGCGCGAGAGAATGACCCAGAGGGAGCGTAGCAACCTGACCTCGCCGAGAGCCGGAAGAAATAAAACCCGGAGAGGCGATGGACGGCCTGTTAGACAAATGCGGTCCATAACAACTTTGAATGAGGAAAAAATCCCTTTAAAAATTTTTTTCTCCCTATTTGGTGACTTGCTGTGACATCCGACTTGAGCACGATGACCCTTCCGAAGTGGCGAACGTGAGAGCAGACAACTTTAACTTTCAGGGACAGCGATTACTACCGTGGACAACCTATCATGGTATCAGCTTCCCTTTTGAAAGGAGCCCAATTCTCCACTTGTCTGGAGATGGTCTTTGGGCGAGATTAGCGGACCCGAAAAAAAATTGGGGACAGCGGTGAGGGAAATGATGAAACATTCAAAAAGCTCACAAAAGACGGAAGATGAATCGGAAATACTTGAATACTGAATATGCGGTCATATGCAGTCACGCGTTGGTCACAACTGCTCAGTAAAGTGCAGAAATCGATTTTTAATTTTTTTGCAGAGGATAAAGAATATATGCCTGCCGCTTCAAGGGTGACACGATTGCAAACACCGGTTCTATTCGTCAGCCCGTCTGCCGTGTCGTTTCCATTCGTCCGTCGCCTCGAATTATAGTCTCGACTCTGTTAAATGAGCGTCAGCCCCCCTCCCCCCCACCCATCGAGCCAAGTGCGAGTATCCTCCTCAAGTGTGAGCCGTTGCGATCAATTTCTTTTTCCTCTCAGCAAACCGTCCTCCAAACCGGCCTTAATATAAGCCCGCGCTAGCTTGAGAATAACACCAAGGCTGAAGGCTCGAATGAGGATGGGCCTGTGGGGAGAAAAGCAAGCGAGACGATGGGTCTGGTTTTTTTTTTCTCCTTTTAGGGGAGTAGAAAGGGAGTGACGCGATGAAGCAAGACTCGGGACTTAGCCGTGGCACCTCGACTTTGAGGAGCAGACAACTTTAACTTTCAGGGACAGCGGTTACTACAGTGGACAACCTATCATGGTATCAGCTTCCCTTTTGAAAGCAGCCCAATTCTCCACTTGATGGTCTTTGGGCGAGATTAGCGGACACGAAAAAAAATTGGGGACAGCGGTGAGGGAAATGATAGCAGCTGCTGTGCAAGGCGGTCGGGAAGGGAAGGCGGGGGCCGGCTCGAAAAAAAAATCTGGCAAAATTCTGAAAGAAAAGCCGCATTGAAACAGTTGTTTCACTTTCCACCCCGGCCGGAGACAAAACAGCTCAACTTTTTTTTTTTTTTGTTTTGATTCCCAAAGAACTCGTGACTGCATCCCGTCAACGAGAAACGTTAAAAAAAAAAAAAAAAAATCTGCTCTCGTGTCACTGAAAAAGCGGCAAAGCGAGGACGATCAATCGATCATCCAAGGTTGCTGCGGTGAATCGGCCATTTTTTTTTTTCCCACCCTCATTGACGTCAGCGGTTGTCATTCAGCCGAGCAGAACCAAAGAGCCGCCCCCCCCCCCTCATAGCGACCACAATGAAGCTTAAACTTCTTTTAACGCCTCTTTCCGAATTGTTTTTTTTTTTTTTTAAATTTATCCTCAGCTCCATCCCGCCATATCGATGACTTCCAGTCGCCGGGTTTTATTTCCATAACGCGCCGCTTCCTCCGCATGTACGCGGTAATTGGATTTCCTCCCGCGCTCCGTCCGTGTCCGCCGTCCGATTGGATTGCGTCTCCATAAAAAAAGCAATGCGGAAGGATAAAAAAAAAAAAAAGCGACAGCCGAAACGGAACCGAGCGAGAAATAAAGGTTATTGGCGCCGAGCAAAGCGAAGACATAAATGTACTCATGCGCGTATTTATTCACACTTGAGGCGGCGTCTGCGCTTTCGACTGTCCACCGACGGGGACATTACACAACCCAAGAGCCGGCGCAAAAGAACTGAGATCGTCGAATACATCTTTTAGTCTGCGTTACCTGGAAGAAGCCCTTTATTGATAATCTCGTGGAAAAATAAAACGTAAAAATGTCGCCATTAACCTTTTCATGCACCCGATAACACGGTAAACCGTCCACTGTCGTGACCGCTGTGCCTGAAAGCGTTCAGCGTTATGGAGTGTAGCCTGAGTCATCATATACAACAGGGTTCCCCAACTCCCGGGCCGCGGACCGGTACCGGTCCGTGGATCATTTGGTAGCGGGCCGCACAGAAAGAATAAATAACTGACATAACTTGCGTTTTATTCATTTTGCAATCTGAAAGATGTTTTATTATGAAAATTTGACCGGATTCTCCCTTACATTCGTCTAGAGCACTGGTGTCAAAGTCAAGGCCCGGGGGCCAAATCCGGCCCCCCACGTCATTTTATGTGGCCCGTGGGAGCAACTCATGTGTGTCAACGATCATGATTCTTGCTGAAATCTGAACCGAAATGTCAAATCGTCACGGGTAATAAATAACGTTGAGATTTTGCACCGGCCCTCCGAAGGAAGCCATAACTCTGAAATGGCCCGCGACAAAAAATGAGTTTGGCATCCCTGGTCTAGAGTATGTCACTCTTGACGTAGGTCAAGACGCGCTTCTCGGTCACGCGATAGGTTACCGCTGAAATGAAACGCGGGAGCTAGCAAAACGAGTAAAAAAAACAAAACGTCTGTGGAAAGTTTCTTTGGGAAGGGGAAAGGCCCCGCCAGGAGGCTGAAAAGGAGCCGACGACTTCCAAGAAAAAGATGGCGACATTTAATTGACAATCCCACTCTGCATAATATGCGGCGATGGTGAGTCGTATTTTTCATGCACTCTGTATCTTATTTTCAAGGCGGGTTTCAACGTTCCCATAGCGACCAGAGTGTTTATAATTTTGTTGTATTTATCTGTCACACCTTCAAGGCCGGTCCCTGAAAATAATGGCTGACATTAAACCGGTTCGTGGGACCAAAAAAGGTTGGGCAGCCCTGATATACAATTTTTTTTTTTTTTCCCCGATTCAGGAAGTGCCGGCACGCCGGTGGTTTTCAACGAGAACGGCGACGCGCCGGGAAGATACGATATTTTCCAGTACCAGATCACCAACGGGTCCACGGCCGAGTACCGAGTCATCGGCTCCTGGACCAACAAACTGAACCTCAAGGTAAGATTTTTTATTTTTTTTGCCACTTGTTTCTCAAGCGCACGTCGCGATGGAGAGCAGCCGAACGCAAAATCGCTCGAGGGCGCGAAATCCACACAGGACTTCATTAAAAATAAATAAATAAATAAAATCCAAATTAAAAATGACAGATGAGAAGACTAATGGGCAAGAAATGCTTTGCGCATGACGGATGCCGAGCCGAGTGTGACAGAACATATGTTTAGTTTTTGTTTCCCAAATCGGTAGGTTTGATATCAAGCAGTTAGCTGATACCCACGCCATATAAAAAGTGTGCACACCCCTGTTCGAATGTCGAGTTTTTGGTGACATTTAAAAAGGAAAACAAGATAAATCATCGCGACGCTTTTTTTTTTCCAGCAGGAAAAAAAAGCCACGACTGAAGTCAAGCGATTAGAACAGATTTTTAAAAATGAGTTGATGAGGTCACACCCGAAAAATGTGACCTCATCAACGTTTAGGTCCAGGTTCTTGGGCAAATAACAAGACGTCTTTGCTGTAAAAACAAGCAACCAAAAGTAAAATTAGTTTTGGGATCGTCATATCTGCCAAAAAAAAAAAAAAAAAGTCAATGAATAAAGCATGAATCAGATGAGGGAAGAAATGTCGTCTGTCAGAAGCGATCATGCGGCGCGAGACGTTTTCAAAAAGTTTCCCCCAACCGCGCTCATTTGCACTCGCCGCACACGCGCCGACACGCGAGGACGTGAAGTAATTATTTTCCCTGACAGTTTATTTGCATCCCCGGAGCAAACTGCCAAAGCGGCGGATGAGAAAACATTCTTGAATTCTCATTTTAGCGTCACCGCTTGTAAATTCCGTGAAAAGACGTCATTTAGGCGCATCTATCGCCAATTTTAAATCAAATTTATTTTTGTTTTACCTCTGCAGTCGAGTTGTTCAATGGCCCCTTTTTGCCCCCCCGCAGGTGGAGGCCATGCGCTGGAAGACGGGCGACCCGTCGCTGCCGGCCTCCGTGTGCAGCCTCCCGTGCCGCGCCGGCGAGAGGAAGAAGGTGGTGAAGGGGGTCCCCTGCTGCTGGCACTGCGAGCGTTGCGAGGGCTACCACTACCAGGTACGCCGACGACAGAGTCAAGTCGAGTTGGGGTGCAGTCAAAAGCATGAAGAAAATATCAAGCGCAACACCAGCCTAGCCGGCGATTGTCGGCGATTGTCGGCGATTGTCGGCGGGGGAGGATCAATACCCATTTTGCTGCCACGAGCAGCAGCAAGCGGATCAATAAAGCGCTTGACACATTTACTGTAGATTTGGGGCTTGAAGTGGAATTAGGCACGCCGCCATGACAAAACACAAAAAAAAAAATGACGCGGCGCCCGAAAACAAGTCACTTGACAGCAGCGGATAACGACTTGGGGGGTGCGTCATTACAGTCGACGGATGGAAGACGAAATCAAGATTCGCTTTCATGACATTCGGATAAGAGGGACACCTCCGCGGATGTCTTGATTTTCTAACCCTTTGTCCAAAAAAAATAAATTAAAAAAAAAAATCTTGAGGTTTTACAAGCTGGAAAAAAAAACTGGCACAGCAGTGAAGTAGGAGAATCTTAACCAAGGCGCATATAATGACAACGGCGACATCTTTGCCCATGGCCTTAAGAGATTTTTTTTGTTGTTACACAAATGAGTCCCGCCAAAAAAAACAACCCAAAACTGTTTTTTTTTTTTTTCTTGGTTTAAGCATTCTTCTGGCCAGTTCCCACCATTAGCATATCTCCTGTTTTAATAGCTTGAAAGTCGCGCCGCAGCGCTGTAGCTAGCTTACACCTAGCGACGAAGTAGCTAAACAGTCGCACAGTGTGCGGGGTTTGGCAGGTAGTGGTTGAACCATGGGCAACGAGTTTCGCTGCGAGTGCTTTGAATCGCGTCATGTCATCGCAAATAAATACAAAAAAAATGCAAATGAGAGAAGAAAAATCGACGTTGTAAGCGCAAGTTAAACATGGCTGCCATCAAAGCTGTTCCAACGCACGATACAATATATGTATTATGTTTTATAATGCAGTCTAGAATTAAACACATTGTCAATCCGCAACTGCTTTGACAATCGCACCATGTTTTAGTGGTTCGGAATTTTTTTAATTTTTTTTTTTTCACACAATTTCTTGTGCTTCCGCAGGCCTCCGAGTTCATGTGCGAGCTGTGTCCGTACGAAATGCGCCCGGACGCCAACCGCACGGGCTGCGTGGCCATCCCCATCATCAAGCTGGAGTGGAACTCGCCGTGGGCCGTGGTGCCGGTTTTCCTCTCCATGCTGGGCATCATCGCCACGTCGTTCGTCATCGTCACCTTCGTGCGCTACAACGACACGCCCATCGTGCGGGCCTCGGGCCGCGAGATGAGCTACGTGCTCCTCACGGGGATCTTCCTGTGCTACGCCATCACCTTCCTGATGATCGCCGCGCCGGACGTGGGCGTGTGCTCCCTGCGCAGGATTTTCCTGGGCTTGGGCATGTGCTTCAGCTACGCGGCGCTTCTCACCAAGACCAACCGGATCCACCGCATCTTCGAGCAGGGGAAGAAGTCGGTCACGGCGCCCAGGTAATGTTTTGGTCATGCATGATTCATCAGGCATGAACTCGCGCTCACCTAGTTGCGCCGTTCGCGCTCGGGGGGGGCACTCTTGGCGCAGTGGCTGAAATGTTAATGTCTGATGTGATGGACGTCAGGTGCCTCCCAACAGTTTACGTGCCAGGACTGCGGTCGCACAACCGAGCGGGACATTTGTTGCCATTTCGTGGATTTTTATTTTGCCTCCCGTCGATTTTGGGTGTTATTCCACTATCGACCACTAAATGGCGGTACTCTATATTTGTTTGACATGGTGGAACTGAGAGGTGAAAGGAGGATACAGGAAATATTTCAGCTCAGCCGAGCTTTTGCTGAAGATAAGTGTGATGCAAAATCCTTTTCAATCCTGCTTTTTATACCTACAAAAAGCGACGGCCACGGGTTCATTTTATAACGTGCATCTTTTGGCACGATGATTGATGATGAAATGTTTAGTTGGTTAGTTGAATTTTCAATCCACTGTTGTAAGTCCAGTCCAAGACCTTTTCCAGCACATCGCACGTCTCTGATGAAGTTGAATGTGAATTCCGGTCGCGACAGGGAGTCCTCGGCTTTCGGCATATCAAGATTCCCAAACAACAAGGCACTTAATGAACTAGTTTGCGCAGCCTCGTCAGACCTTGCTCGGCTCAAAAAGACAAACTCAGCTCCGCCCAGACTGTATTTCAATAGGTTGTTTTCTATTCAAGAAAGATACCGCTAGCAAAAATGACTCAAAACCCGTCTCCTCTCTCGGCCCAGATTCATCTCCCCGGCCTCCCAGCTGGTCATCACCTTCTCCCTCATCTCGGTCCAGCTGCTGGGCGTGTTCTTGTGGTTCGCCGTGGACCCGCCGCACACGGTGGTGGACTACGGCGAGCAGCGGACCCAGGACCCCAGGGCGGCGCGCGGGGTCCTCAAGTGCGACATCTCGGACCTGTCGCTCATCTGCTCCTTGGGCTACTCCATCCTGCTGATGGTCACGTGCACGGTCTACGCCATCAAGACGCGCGGCGTCCCCGAGACCTTTAACGAGGCCAAGCCCATCGGCTTCACCATGTACACCACCTGCATCATCTGGCTGGCCTTCATCCCCATCTTCTTTGGAACTTCTCAGTCTGCGGAGAGGGTAAAAGCGTTCGATCATCATCGAGTCCAGTCGAGTGTAGGTTCAAAAACACCCCCCCTCAAAGTCCTCCCAAAAAAATCAAGAATATCCCAGGGGAGGAGAGAGGGGAAGCGGCAATAAAACAGGCCAAAATGCTGATGTTCGGGCGAGGAAAGAGGCAATTTGCATACTTGGTTTAAGTAAGTGTCAAAATGTCGTGTTTGATCTCTTAATGTCGGAATAAGCTGCGATAAGATGAAAACAATGAGGCACACGTGCCACTGAAACCATCGCGAAGTTCAAAAGCTCGAACTTAATTAAAATATCTCACGCAACAAGTTCAACGTTTGCGTCGATCCCCCTTGACAAATGGGCGACAGGTTACCGTATTTTCCACACTATAAGGCGCACCGAAAAGTCTTCCATTTTCTTAAAAGCTCCCAACACGCCTTAAAATCCGGTTCGCCTTGTTGTGTATTCACAAATGAGGAAATCAGCGTGATTTCCTCATTTGTGAATACACAACAAAGGAATGAAGAACAAATACTTCTGAGACCGTCCAGTCTCCTGCATTTTACTGACATCTGATCGTTCTGTTGGAGCTATGCTCAAGGAAATGCCAAAATAAATTCTGTAGGGGGGGCTATAGAATTTATTTTGTCATTTCCTCGCTTGATTTTCTGTTTGGATGCATTATTTTCAATTCTCCTAGTTTCATTGCAGTCATCGTTCATTTACGTTTTTCGGAGGCGGTCACGAACGCTTCTCGTGTCGAATGCAAAGAGCGTAGATCCATCTAGTGGATGCATTGTAGATTGCGTCTTATAATCCAGTGCGTCGAATATATGAAAAAAATTACAAATTAGGCCATTCATTGAACGTATCCAGTGCGCCTTTTAGTGCGGAAAATACGGTTGTAGTCACGATGCCCATCAGGGCTTCCCGCAAGGGTTTTGGGGGCGTTGGGGGTGGCGGTCCAAGGTCTCCTTTGCGCGTTCTAAAACGTTATTACATTTCAGAGTGACCCATTTTCCAGTTGCGGATTTTTCACTCGTCTGTTGCGGAACGGATGCGTTTTCTCCCTCCGCCGAACCCTTTTTTTGGGAGATGAAATATGCCGCGTGAGAAATCGATGGCCGGCAAGAGAGTTTTGGGCGACCGCAAATAGTGTTTTACAATGAGTGAAGTACGCGGGAGTTGCGTTTTGCTGTCACGCGTTGCTGTTTTGTGTGCATCTTTGATTTAGTTGTCGACTGAAGCTAAGTGCTCGTTAGGTCCGATTGGCCCTCCGTGGCGCCATCCTTATGAATATTCAAGTGGGTGAGGGGGGTGGGGGATTTCTTCCTGCTGATCCAATCTCCATTTGACCTAATGAGGCCACGACCTCGCGCACAATTTGTCGCGGCGCTGTCATTCCCCTGCACCCAGGCGCCTATACGGGTCCTCGGCAGTAAAACAGGCCAAAAATGCGTTCGCTCTCTTGACGTTTACTTCACCGAATGAGACCGGGCTGCGTGTGTTTTTTTTTTCCTTTTTTTTTTTTTTTTACGCGGCGGCTTGCTGTGTGTCATTGGGACATCCGCCAAGCGTACGCTTTTATGTTTCCTTTTCTAATTGGAATACTGCGTCCAATGTGATGCGTCTGGCTGGTTGAGAGGCAAAGAGGAAGGGAATAAACAGGTAATGATCGGGAAGGGGGTTTGGGGGGGCTGTAATGAGGAGTTCCGCTCAGGTGGCCCCGCGTTATGATTAACGTTCTCATCGCATTGTCGTCATCGGCTCCCGTTTCCCGCTACGGCTTGCCGGAACTAATCTGCGCTCGATTACTCATATTTACCACAGAATTCGACACCCGCGGAGATGTTTTGACATTTTCGAGACCGGAACTCTCATATGATGCCACTTTGGTAACGCCACTCCCAGTTGAAGTTTACTGTCAAAATAAACATCAAATTCGAGGGACACATGTTGAGCATCAATATGACGGACGTTTTAAAGCTTTTATATTTGATCACAAATGAACGCCGACACACGCGGACAATGTGATGTCACTGACAAGCATGTGTTCTTGATCCTACGCGCAAGGTTCAGATTTAAAATTTGTAGCGCGAACCGTCACTTGCGGTAGTTGCCATCGTCAAGTCCCGTACCAGAAGGAGCCGCAGTGAAAACGCAATACGGTTCATTTGTTCTTGATGATTTTGTTCGTGCAGATCCCTTCCACGCGCCGACGCGAGAAAAAATTAGGCGCGTAGCTTTTGCGGCTGGTGATTAACGCCAAGTCATTTGCATGTTATTTTCCAACCGCTGGACATAATGTCTGAAAATTAGGGAAGGCAACAGAAGCGTGACGAGCAATACAAAAAAAAAAAAAAGAGTCGAGGAAAGTTTCGAGACGCAGAAGTGTCTTCGCTTTGATCCGTTTCCCAGCTCCGCTCGCCTGCTCCGTGACTGCTAGCGACACCTTTCCCTCTCGCCCTCCCAACTCTTGTTTTTTTTCACCTTTCGCTCTCTCGTACCCGCTGTGACTCAGAGCCGTGTCGAGCAATACCGAGAGAAAAGCCGTAGTGTCGTAATAGCAAAAGACGGGAAGGTCGAGGCGATGAGAGCCTCAACTAAGAACAATATTCCCAAATATTTAAGTTCCAGAACCCCCTTAATCGCAAATATCTGTGAGTTGCAGCTATTGTTTTTGTTTTTCCTCTCGGGGTTGGTTGCCTGCCGCGATTGTCCCGGTGAGTGACGTGGGAGTCGGGAGATTGGCTATTGTTCGCTTAGGACAGCAGCGGGTTGCTAGGTGGCTAGCCTGCGCCCCCCCCCCCCACATTGCACTTGCACTAGAAGCACGGTATGCTTAAAGAAAAGTCTCAAAATAAGTCTTTTGTAGAAGATAATGAAGCCGTCGTGGACAGTGACGGCCATGCCGGGGGCCCAATTTAGCCGCCCTGGTGCAATGTTGAGTTAATATTAGGCTTGCGTGTCAATTCATGTAATTTAAATCAAGATATATGTGAATGAATTGTGTAGAAAGTAGAGTACATTTCGGTCAGGTCTAAGAGATTGTTTCAATTTTCTTATTTATTGCCAAATAAATTAAGAGCTGAAAAATGTCGCTACGCTCTCGAGCATATTAGCTGAGATGCTAGCAAAGCAGCAGCTTTCAGCAGAACTCATCACGAAAGGCGAGTTTCCTCTCCTACTTCTCAACCTGTCGCAATTGACCCGAAAAAGACGTCAAAGTGAGCAAACAGACAACGTGGCATTCAACTAGCAGCTCCCGAAAGATAAATCCGATCAAAATGGCTCCCGGCACGACTTGCCTCTTTCCCCAAAACGAATTCTAGTCAAATCTCCCGAGCCCTCGCGTTCCTCGGGCGATTAAAATGATGAGCGGTCCCGCTGCGGGCGCGAGGAGACGGCTACTCGCCGTCAATTAAACCCACAAAAGACGCTCGGTCCCTCCACGGGAATGAAAAAAAATGGCCGTCAAGTTTCCCCGCGTGGCCTGGAGGCGTCCTGTAATGTCGCAGCTTAGGTGGAGACGGGCACCTGCCAAGGACACCGAAACGGATTAGCTCCATGCTAAATGATGCAAAGAGTGCAAAAAGGAGCGAAAGCAGGTTGACGCAAGACATCGGTGGGAGTATCGACACCCCCCCCCCCGTGCCTCCCCCGACTTATTTCATGTGTTTCCGACGTGTCTCTCTGGTTTACTTCAGGTGTAGGCAGCTGTTGCATCATCGCGTTGTCTTCCCCTTCTGGTATTTGCTCAGCCGGTGAGTTTTTTTTTCGCAGCCTCTGACAAGAAGCTAATTCACGAGAGGGGAGGGCTGGGGGGGGGGGTGATGACAGATTTAATAGAATCTCACATATAGAGGCAAGCTGGCAGCTTGAGTCAGTCAACCCCCCCAAAAATAAAATAAAATAGATTGATGTGAAAATTGGACTTTAGATAAACAACAAACGGAATGAGCGTTTCTCTCGTTGCAGCGTGTCGGCCACCTGGGGGCAGTATATTGCCAAAAGGCAATTAACACAAATGTGGACTGACCAATTGTCCCAAAAAGTAACATTTCATTAATTGTGACTTTCGGGGCGAAATTAAGGTGACGGTTACGTTAGTTGTTCCTTGCAGAGGATAAGGAATATATGCCGTCGAGCATTCCGCAGTGTTGATGCTAGCCTGTCTATGGGGTTTCCCCATCATGTGTTAGCATTAAGCTAAGAGACTTTTTATCTTAAGGTACTAAAATGTAACCGTGAGTGGCAATAAAACGGATTGTTCAGAAGAATTTTTCGCTATCTGCCAAAAAGTCAAACCCCCAAAAAACTGCAAATACAAACTCCGCTTCCGCTTATCTCAAGGCGCCTCTTTTGCAGGCTCGTCTGACGTCTCCGCGTGACGTTTTCACGGGAATTGGATTTCATCCGAATCACGGCCGGGCTCGTCTCCGCAGATCCGTCGCCATGGCAACGTAATTGCAGTCAAGTGCGAGTAAGGATTAAGTAAGACGGGTGGGGGCTTGGGGGGGGCGCTTTTCTCTCCCATTTTTTAAAGCGTTTATTCTGATCAAGGTTGCAGGCACTTTAGATTGTATGAAATGTAATAAAATATGAGGAGGGGGGGAAAAAAAAAGAAAAACGCGAGTGTAAATGTCTCTCGTTTTCTCTTTTGGGGCAAGCGTTTTAAGAGCATCCGAATGAGCGGCGCCGCACTCGTGTTCTGTCGCGATTGCGTCGGGCATTGTAATAAAGTCCGCCGCGAGGCTTCACTCGGAGCGCTAATTAAAATCGAACAAGGTGAAATCATCCCGAGCACTTTTGTATCGTTGACACAAAAGACGGGCAACTCCTCTCGAGATGGCAATTAAAAAAAAAAAAAAAAGCGCTCGGGTAATCAAGGCGGCAGCTTCTCTCTCTCTCGCAGGTGGAAATATTCGATGTTGCGGCCGGTCGACGGCGTGCGGTCGTTTTTATTATTTTTTTATAGCATGGCAACGAGCGAATGCATTTCCCGGCGTTGTCATCTTTCCCTTTCAGATGTACATCCAAACCACCACGCTGACCATCTCGCTCAGTCTGTCGGCGTCCGTCTCCCTGGGGATGCTCTACATGCCCAAAGTCTACATCATCCTCTTTCACCCCGAGCAGAACGTTCCCAAACGCAAGCGCAGCTTCAAGGTAAGGGGCCTTTGCGCTCGAAAGAGTCACTCGTCGCCAAACGCCGTCGCCAAACGCCGTCGCCCCTCACAAAGGTGCGTTCCGACGCAGGCCATCGTGACCGCCGCCACCATGTCGGGGAAACTGTCGCAGAAGGGAGGCGACCGGCCCAACGGCGAAGTCAAGACGGAGTTGTGCGAGAGCATGGAGACCAACAGTGAGTAAGAGAACGCGACTTGACTTGGCATTTTTACACATATAGGGGGCAGCGCAAGTCTGAAAAGACATTTAAAAACGTCTTTGGGAGTGAATGAGTTAAAAAAAACAAACAAACAAACCAAAACAAACATGCCAGCTGTAGGACTCAAGGTTGTCATTCTTGTGTCTTGCAGCTTCATCTAAGACCACGTACGTCAGCTACAGCAATCACGCCATCTGAAAAAAAAAACAACAAAAAAAAAAACAAACGCCGCACAAGACTGAAGAAGCGATCCAAGCATGAAGACATTTCACATCAGGGAAGAAAAGGGGCTTGCTTTCCTGTCGCTCACGTAACTGTAAGGAAGGGAGGGGTGGGGGTCGGGGGGAGACAAAAAAAAAAAAAAAAAAGGACAATGTCAAGCGGGAGCCTTGACTGGACTATGGAAGTTTAAAAAAAAAAAAAAAAAATCAAAACATGTATCCGTTGTATGCGTCAGGGCCAGGAATAGAGTTACCATCTATGAGACTAAACATGTTTGTTGTTCTAATCGTGAAGTATTTTTGTGGTTGTGACAACCCCCCCCCCCCCCCCCCCCCCCCCCCACCCCATTCTTGTCTCACCCTTGTTGAATCGTCCTTGCAAACGGAGATGAGTGCATTTCTTCCCAACCGTCTTGGCTAACGGGGTCGTGAACCTGTAAACATACATCCATGGGGTGACGCATGCCGCTTTTGATACCGAAAAGGAGATCTATTTATAATAAAAAGGAATGTTTTTGGTTTTTTTTTTGCTAATATCTGGGTCTGGTCTTCCTTCGCTTATGCGGGAGCGACGCGGAAGTTGAAGCATCGTGTGCCAAAGTACGATCAGATCTGTGTGGTGGAGAGGCTTAGCTTAGCTTAGCCTGGATACGAATTCAAACTGCGTGACAATTTACGTGACATAAGCAATTAATTTCAAACGACGCCCCCCCCCGACACTTGTAAAAATTGCGTATCAGCATGCGCTTTGTCAAGCGGCGTCAAGACGCACGACAGCAGCTTGTCCTCCGTTGATGACAACGCGCACACGCGATATCATTATATCCAATCACAAATCTGAGTTCGTCTGGTTTTTTTTGGGAGGGGGGGGAGGGGGGGTCTGGTTTCCGGATTTGAAACCACGGGGGTCCCACATTGCTAGTGTGCCGCAGATTCGGTTTCTCTCTGATATGCAAATTAAGGAGAAAAGTGTTGGCTTTGCTTTGTTCACCATTTGCAGGAATGGAAAAAAAAAAATGACAATGATTCAATCGAAATATATTGCACGTCAAAGTTCAAGCGAGATTGTCATTTGAGAACCACAAAAACAAATGAAAATAGGAATGACGGGTTCAAGATGAAGGTGGTCGTGACATTTTCAAAATGGCTGCTCCAGCTCTAACGACTCACAGATATGCAGTTTATGTATTTATGTATGTCTTTTTTTCCAGGTGCATTACTGCCACCTACTGGGCCGGAGTGGCATGAGTAAGATTGTTTTCTTGCACTTCGCCGTTGCGAACAATCCTGCGACATGTTGGTTTTGAGTCTGCGTGCGTCCGCCGATACGGGACACTCTTTTTGCGGCTGGAACTGCGATGGGGTCAAAGGTCAAAAGGCGGGGCCGACCTCTGGGACCATCGCCGACAGACCGACACGTCGGAAATGAGCCGAGTGACGAAAGGTCGCCAAGATCAGCACGTGAATGCTAATTGCTTCCGGGTATTTCATCATGCTTCATTTTGGTTAGCGTTGACGCCTTAAAATTAAAAGAGGAGTTTGATTTTTTTGGGGGGAGGATGAGAACAGCAGCAGCAGCCTCCTGATGGGATTTAAAAAAAAAAAAACGCACATCATCTGCATCCGGATGCTGTTTGCCATCATGAGGGTGACAGCATCTGTTGAATCATTTGACTACTCCTTGATGTATAATCAATGTACGTTTTCGGGAACGTTACCAGCAGAGATGAAAAAAAAAAACCAACACATTTTATATAAGAAGGATAAACTTGGAACAATTGAGAATCACGTTATTTTTTCAAGTGCTTGATCACAGAGCTATTTTTTGGAAGATTGTAAATGTGCACCCCCCCCCCCCCCTTCCCTTCTCGGAGTGGCGGAGGAATTAAATCCTGTTTTTTGTTTTTTTAATTCGCTGGGCTTAATGACATTTCTGCTTCTGCCTGAACATGTTTATTTTGTTTTGTGAATTATGCGCTGACTGAATAAAAAGAGGACCACTTGGTTGTTTCTTCGAAACACCATTTTACAATATTTTGGAAATAAAGGAATGAAGCCCCGGAGTGGTTTATTTCGAGCGGTATGTACAGTCAAAATTGTGTGTTCAAGAATATTTAAGAGCACTCGTGGGATACAGAGTGTGCAGGTGCATGTGAACGTGTTGACAGTACCTTGCTAAATATCTCCACTGGTCTCCCGTGTCGCCAGGGAGCCCGCAGGGGCTCACGCCATGACGTTAATAGTCTGACAGGCCCCGCTGCTCCCCTTCCGCCGCCGCTTCCATCTGCTCGTCTCGCATCCCTCCATCCTTCCCTGCAGCGGCGCCGCTCTTGGCCTTTTGTCGTCGCATCACAGACAAACGCAGATTTGTGTCGTGCGTGGGAAGTCGTTCACAACAGTCCGGATGCATTTTTGCCATTTTTCTTGGGACAAAGGTGACTTTTCCAGTGGGAAGAAGAAAGCGAATGAGAGTGAGGACATCAAGAATCATCACGCGTCATCGTGTGTTGACAGTAACCTGAGTCACCATTAATGCTGATGAGCCGCAGAGCATCACACGCAGACGTGACCCCAATTTGCCACGTGAGGGAGGCTATTTTTTTAGACCAGGTCCAATTTACTTTGGAACATGACATATAGTGAGGCGTTTTTAGCCCAAAAAAAAACGACCATGTATAGTCAGGTGTTTTTGGCACGAAAAAAAAACGAAATAGTATAGTAGGGCATTTTTTGCTGAAAAAAACATCGTATAGTAAGGCGTATTTAGCACGAAAAAAACGACATAATATAGTAAGGCGTTTTTAGCCGAAAAAAACGACATAGTATAGTAAGGCGTTTTTGGCGCGAAAAAAACGACATAGTGTAGTATGCCGTTTT